GAATAAAACAAATAAAACTGAGAAATAACTATTAGGGAAGTAATAACCTCTTATTGCATTTTTTCGTCTTTTTTATGGGAAGCAATTACATGCCATTTGCTTCGTTGATGCGTCGCCTACACTACTAGTGAAAATACTCATTCAACGAGTATGACTTGCCAGCATGATTATTCAAATTATCGCATGAGCATTCATTGGAGTTATTTCTTATACATTTCCTCACAGTATCAGTACTCATGTGATTCAAATCGAATACAAAACCCACCAATATATTGATGATTAACCGGTAATAGTTCGATACTTGAGCGATCGTCTATCACCTGGCCGTCATTCTGCCACGATTTACTGAGAGTTATTCTCTGATTGACAATGAACTCCCGGAAATACTAACGGTAGTGTGAACAAATGCGTAACATACGCACTAAATGTACTATTGTATACAAGACTATTATATTGAATTAATGTAATTAAATGAAAAATAGTGCAAAAGTATTGTTAATAATATAATTACTTTTCATTCTAGTCTTTTCTTATGAATTATTTATATGATGATTTTTTTATTTTCAATTATTCACTTCTTCAGTAAAATTAAGTAATTACTTAAACCTATAAATGGAAATTAGTATGGATTTTTTTTTCTAAATTTACATTAAAATATTTTTCTACATTAAAATAAACTTCTTTTCCAGATTCGTTATGAAAATCAATAAAAAAAAGACGCTTAATAATTTATGTTGACGAATCGATTGTAATTTCCTATTGTGAAGACACTCATCATTGTAAAAAAACAATTATTTTGCTTTTTTTAGTAATAATAATATCTCTAGATTTTAAACTGATTGTATCTCTTAAAATTTTCTGTCTTTTATTGTTAATTTTATATTTGAATAAAACGGATGTAACACAATAATACCAAACAGCATATACGCTTATAAGTCACTCTAGATAAACCATCAGAATACACAAAAACTATATTTGAATATCAAAGATGTTCGCGGCAGCGCTGCTACAATGACGTCAGTCGCAACTTCTGTTTTCGAGAGATTGTAAAATTGCATTAATCGTACTCGACTTGAGTGTCTACAAGTTCAACAGTTAAAGTCATGATGAACCCTATATATTCAATTGAACTATGATATATTTATCAATATTTTCTATTGTGTTTTTTTTTCGATTTTTAATATATATCATTGTCGATTGATTCTCTTTGTCCTATTGTAGTTTCGCATTGGCAAAGCTTTATGAAGTAATATTTTTCACTGTCTTTCATGTTGCATGACTATTACTTATCATCAGTAGGCAGTAGAAAGACGCGCTTCAATATTCAATATATAAGACACAAGAAATTTTATATTGCCTACTTTCTTCTTTCGAAAATATTCTATGATAAGAATTGAATCACTAATTCCTTCGATGATAATTAAAACTAAAAATTTGACTAAAAAATAACACCCATAATTTCAGTTACATCTTTTTTTTTCATCTTTCAAAGAGACCAGATTCATGTCATTCTTTTTTTTCTAAGGCTGATTTAAGTAAATACTGATTATCGTGCTATATAATTCTTTTTCCATTTGACGCCAAGCCGAAGAAAATATAAATATTATCCGGAATCAAATAGTAGCCTTTTTTTCTTTCATTATCTTCATATTTTTATCAATGTAGAGACGAATCCATACAACTTATCATTTACCTTAGAAATTTCAGACACGATAATAAAATCTTGTTTTTCAAAGAAAAAAAATGATTTATTCATAACTCTCTAGAAAGATACCAATCAATTCCGGACATGTCTTTTTTTACGTTCTTTGTTGATCGATTATGAATAATAAATAGATGAATATAAAATAAACAACAATAACTGTAGTAACAAAACGAGCATATGTTACTCCTATATATATATATGTATATATCTATAAATTTCTTTTTAATTAATATGAATATTATCTCAGCACCGATTGTTGTTCAGTTGAAGGTTTTGTTAAAGGTAATTCATTAATAAATGATTGTATATTTTCAAAATAATCTGGCATTATTGGTAAATCATTATGTTTACCAAATGGATATTCAAATAAATGACGTTTTCTAGCTGAACGTGTTTCATTATATAATGTATTGGACATCCATGTTGGAATAATAGGATCAAGTAAACCGGTTAAATAAATACATGGACATTCAATACGACGTACTTTAGGTAATGAATCAAATAAATAAATAAAACCAATTGATTTTGTTACACCAATAACACTTTTAGCATATGTTAAAAAATATTTAGCGATTTCCGGTACTGATATAAAAGCATTTTCAAATATAGCTACTTTAACACGATTTAATGGATCACTCACAAGTTGTATAGCTACAGATGCACCAAGACTTGTACCAAAAACAATTATATTTTCCGGCAAAATTTTTTGTTTATATATTAAATAATCATATGCTGTTTGAGCATCTATATAAAGACCAAGTTCACTTGGTGAACCAGTACTTTTACCAAAACCTATTTTGAAAAATAGAATTAAAATAATTATTAGAAACTTTGTACTCATTTATTCAAAAAACTCAATATATGAAAGTAGATCTTTTGTGCTTTATGTATATTTAGGAAATTTACATATAGGAAAGATAATCCTTTGAATTATAATAGAAAAGCATTATGTCTAAAGATTCACTTATTTGTTTTCTTAATAAATACTAACCTCGATAATCAATAATTAAAATATTACAATGAAGATTTTCATAAAATAGTCGTAAAACTTCAAGTCGATGTGATATATTTCCACCTGCACCATGTAAATATAAAAGTGTTGTTGTTGAATTAATATCATCTGATTGTTGTATCCAATAAGCATGTATAAATTCTCCATCAAGTGTTTGTAAATAAATTGATTGATAATCCATTTGAAAATCTTCTGGTGTTCGTTCTAATGTATGTGTATTTTCAGGTTCATTATTAGAAAAAATATGTTTACTTTGAATATTTTCAGTCATCATTCCTATTTAAATAATAGAATTATTTGATTCTTGCTTTTCTTTTTTTTGAAAATCTCAACTAAAATTAACTTACCAAATAAACCTTTATCTTTTCGTACACAAGAATGAATATAATCAAGTTGTTTCATTAATTGATTTTCATTTTCATGATTTTTATTTGTTATTGATGCATCATCATTGATTAATATATCCGATAGAGGTAATGCACAACGTAAACTACGAATATCAAATATTTCAGCATCGGTCGGTGCCATTGATCTTGGTCTTATTAATGATGTATTTTTTCGGCTACTATTACTGTTTTTACTACTATTAATTAATGGTGTATTTCTAGTATATTCACGTAAACTACGAGATTTTTTTAATTTTGGATATTGTATTGATTCATTTGTACTTGTTGTTGTTGTTGCTATTGATCGAATCGAATTTCTTTGCGGTGAAGTATTTCCCATAGTTAGTTATGATATATTTATAAGCATATAGAATATTAAAAAATCTGAAAAAAAAAGATATATAAGATAGATATATATCATGAACGCTCAATCCCGCTCATTTTTTTTTCGTCTATCATTAAGTTAAATATTCTATGGTTGTCGGTCTAATGCAATTTATGAGCGATTCTTCTTACATTATCATGTCTGCCGAGACTACTAGTATGTTCTTCATTACTTGATCTTAACGAACAAGCAAACGAAAGAAATGAACGACACAAACGAAGAGGAGGAAAAGATTATCCCATATTCTTCGTTAGTAAACAAACGCACACACATACATCAGTAACTATTAGCTTCTATCAACATATACACGCACTAGTATGATCTTTTATGAGAAAGAAAAAGAAAGAAACAGATCATAAAATGTGTGAATTATTCATCTTGACATGAAACAGAATAGAGATGAACCGCATTTATGCATAGTTCTTATTTGTACTTGATGAATAAATATAACTGACTACTCATCGCAGATTTAGGTACGATAGAACTATTGTTTTTTCTCGCGTTTTTTTTTTTGTATCCAAATTACCATCACAGTTTTCCCTCACTGTTTCTTTCTCATTCATCCACAAGCATATATTGCATCGAACGCGCCAGTCTGCTGCTGTTTTCTTCCTTCTGCTTTTTTTTCCTCTTCTTTTCTCCCTTTCTCATTTTTCTTTCCCCTAAAGTCGATATGTTGCCTTATTTTATGGGCTCTTTTTGCTAACGCCATCCAACAAACGAACAAAAAAGCGAGTACTTGTCTTCTATTAGTTAAAGCATCAAGCATGCTAAATACGTCTGGTTATACTAATAAGAGCTTCCAAAAAGGAAAGTTAAAGAAACTTATTAATAAGGCCTTTGCTTAGTTGTTTAGTAATGTAAATTTGGATACTACAAGATGAAAATGTATAAAAAATATCTTAATAAAACAGATGCACATGTCTTGTCTTTATGTATGTATTTATGCATCTGTAAAATCTAATCTATAGTCTATACATTTGATAGTTGATCAATTGGATGAAGTTAATCAGGGTGTTGATGGTAAAAATCGTGAAAAAAAAACAAAAATGAATCCCTACCATTATAGTGAGCACGAAATTTGATTAATGTCATAAAAAAGTTGAGAGAGAGAAAAAAAAAGGAGAATTTTGTTGATTCTTTTCGTTTTATGAAGACAGTAAAAAAAAGAACTAATTTATATTTGAAAAGGAAGAAACCTTCTTTTGATAGGCATGTAGACCGTAGGACCTTGCTCGATAAAATGAAGACGACGACAACGACGCGTACAATTATTGTTGTGCAATAGAATAACGCTCATTTGCCATTTGACATTAAAAAAAAAGAGGATCATATACAAGTATAAACGATAAATAATGATGATGAAAACAGCACGCTCACACGTTCTCTGTTTTTTTTTACTCATCATATTGCGACATCAAATTTGGACAAATGTGTTTTGTAAGATGATGATAGATGTGAATGATATAAAAAGCGATGTGAGTCGTCATCTTCAATAGATATTCATATAAATCATTTGTATGCTTGATAAATTTTTCCATTTCGAAGTTTACTACTTTGATTCCAATCTAATTTCATTGGATCGATTATTGTTTCAAATGGTTCAGCTACTATTTCATAATGATAAGCATCAGTTATATGTCCATTGTCCATTTGAATTTCTTGTACTGATTTACTAATATTAGGACTTGTTTATTTTCAAGAAAATTCATAAGCGGTATCATATCAATGCGTTTAAAATAGCAAAAAAATAACACAGAATAAATATGTAACATTAGATTGATGTTCTGTCAGATCAACAATATTCATTGAACAACGTGCTATTGATCTTTCTTTTCCATTAGAGATTTGAATAAATGAACTTAAACAGCGATATATCTCGACTTGTTTCATAATGTTCAAGAAAATAGTTAATAGCTTGATCTTTTAATCTATTAATAAAAGCTTCAGTTATAGTTAAATTTGATATATCATTAAATATCTTTTGTAACGGACATAATGCACGTTAGTAATTCTGGTATATTCTTAATAGCACATGTAAGAATTTGTACTTCATGAATATAATCAATATAAATATTAGTTAGAATATTTTCATTTTTACATAAAGGATCTATATTTGGATAACGTTGAATAATTGTTTGAATACCCGTATGATTAGTACGTAAATTGTTTTCACGTAAATATCATGTCAGATTAAACGTGTGATCAGTTAATGACGACGATTCATTTCAACTATTGTACCACATTGACAATTCATTCGTAAACAAATATTGTTTGTCATAATTTATTTTTGTTTCATTTAAATTCTACCTACTCCTTTTTTTATTGTTGATAGCGAACACCAATTTATTTGCTAATCTTCGTTTTTTTTTCGTTATGACACATTTCTACTCGCGTTTTTTTAGGTATTTTTTTTCTCTTTCTCTCTTTTTTTTAATATTCTTTTCATCATTTTATGCCCTGTCAAATAGATGAATAACAAATACGTCAATAATCGATAAAATCTATTCAAATGCATCATTCATTCATTTATTCATTCATATTAATAATTGCTTCTTATTTCATTTGAATCATATTAATGATAAACAATAGATTGTCGAATTATAGATAAATAAGATATCAAAACGAAAGTATAAAGACATTTTTACATGAATAATTCTGATCTTCTTTTTTTTAATTGAAAATAAATCATGGCAAATAACTACAGACATATTGATATTTTTATGTGAATGATCATAAAAAAAAATAAATTCCTTCTCATACTACAATTAAAACACATAATGACAATATGATTGTATTTCAATGAATAATAGTTTTCAACTTACCGTAATCTTTCTGTATATTTTTCATTTACGCATGATTGAACCAAAAACCATGATTGTGAAAAATAATAATTGATGTTATTTTTGGTTGCAAAAATTTTTTCATTCATAATTCTAGATTTTTCTAAATCGAGTATGTTAGTTTTAAACACCGAAACAATTTATTTAATATTATGAGATGAATTCTTTTATTTTGATGTCATTGAATTCAAGGAAAAGAAAATATCATAACTGTTTCTTCTAGGCATCAGCTCGAGATTAAAAAAGTTGAAACATGATTATTATGCAATTCAAAATTGAAAATGACTTATGGTAACTTGAGTAACTGGAGGATTTTAAAGAGATATTGCAAATCGTTTTTTATTAACTTATAGCTAAGTTAGAGTCACTTTGATCTACAACAGAATAGCTTTTTCGATTCGATTTCAAGAAAGTTTTCACATGGGGTTTGTAGAGAATCAACATTGAATTTCTTACATTAAAATATGAATTCGATTGAGAAAGCTATTCTCTTTTGAATTACACACATGCGAGATTTCTAACTTGTATGCTTCAAGAGTCCGATGAGTCTTTCATAAGCTCAGATTTCCGATCAGTGGATTCTATATTATGCAAGAACCACCGATTCCGAGAAGGATGAATCGATTAGTGATGTTTTTATTTAGTTTCAAATTACAGATTTTTGAAATATATGCTGTTGACCTTGTATAACTAAAAGATTTTCAAGAGTTGATTACAAACATCACTACTCAACACAGCATAGTCAATCATCTCTTCTGTTGAGATCAACTGTTGCATTATTCAAAGCCAACTAGCCTGAGTAACAAATCTCTGAAAGTCTTGATGATTTTCTTAAAACCCAATTGAATAAAAGCTGTTCTGCTATAGGTCGAGGTGTCTCAAACTTGACTACCAACTCATGAGAACATGTTCACAAGTCATTCAAGTTGGCGTGACTTGTCTGTTATTTTGTAATGTATACTAATCATTCATTTTTATTGTGAAGAAATAATTTAGAGAATTAGAAGGACCGAATGTATCATTTATATTTTTATTATATTAATGTAGGTTTTTTTTTGAGAATGGTGTTTGTAATATATTTCTGAAGTCGATAGTGCAAATTGTAGATTAAAATCAAATTGTGATGAAACGTGACGAGTCTTTTTTTTTTATCAATAATGACTGAAAATTAGATGTTAAATATGGACATATCAATTTTTCTAAATAAAATTCTTCTACAATGTATATATATAACGTTTTTTGAATTCAAATAAAAGTAATCTATTAAATACAGAACGATCCTTTCTACTGCATAGCAATTTATTTCAATTTGGATTAACTCAATTTATCAATGTCTTGAACACTTGACAAGAGAAAAAACGGAAAATTCTCATTAATATTTATTAATGGAAGTATGATGAAAGCTGAAAGAATGGTATTCATCAAAGGTCCAAATGACAAAACGAATTAGCTGTAAAAAATTTGCACAGAACACTTATCGACATTATACAGATACAAATGATGTATATACATATATACTCGATGAAACACAAACTATTTGACTTAATGCTAAGCCATGTGAATAAACTAATCATTGACGTCTGCTTATTAGGATTACATGACTGAATAGAAATCAAAAATAACTAAATACAATAAATGGCAAACAATGATTTTCGTATATTGCATGATATACAAGATGCAGAATAATATAATTTAATTTAAATATAAAAACGTATGCGACAAGAATTAATGAGTCTCTTAGAATTTTCTCAATATCTCTGCCATCTATTTATCATATCCGACTGAATTTTTCCCTAGAAGATGCAGTACAAAATTCTCTACAAAACAACGAGAAAATGTAGATTAAAAAAAGATAGAACCAAAAAAATTTATTTGATGAGTACTGTGACTTTATATTGGTAGTAATGTGAAGTGGAAATATGAAAAAAACTCTACGACCTATTTTTTGTAGAGCTCTTAACAAACCTTTTTCATGCCAAACAAACATTGACTGGTTGTTTTCAGAGTTAAGATAACAGCACATCTTGTACACGAGCTTTCTGTCTTTGCAAAAGAACTATTATTACTCTTTTGATGTGTAATTCCAAATATGACAGTTTTGTTTTTTTTGCGCTTGGACAGATTAAAGCAACAAAAGAAAATCTGGCTGATGTAGACCTTGTATCCAGAGAATAAACTTCTTAAGAATAATTATCAATGTGCTCTTATTTTCGTATACTTCATTAATACTTATACTGTACATATTACATCCTGTGCTGTAAAATAGATTTCGACGTGATAAAAATTGATAGTTCATTAGATATTTGAAAAAATATTTCAGTAATATAACTAATAAGAAACTGCGGATTGATTTCTTATCTATTGACGAATTCAATAATTATTGAAAACTTAGAAATGTCTGCGCTAATGAACGATTAATAAGTTCTTGCCATTTTGCTAGTGTTTGCCATATTTAAGTTTTAAAAATGTTTATGAGAACGAAATTCATATGAGATTTTTTCGTAAAAAAACGAAAACTAATAATACAAACGACAAATGTTCATCACAAAACAAGAAATTCAGAATATTTTCTCATCAAACCATAAACACACAGACACACATATATTGATAAATATGTGAGCAATCATTTCATATTAGATAAAAATGAATAACAGATATATAAAATATCGCAAACAGTTTGCACTACATTACCAAAAAAAACACATAAAAAAAAAATTAATGAACTTTTGTCACGACACTACTAGAGTATTTACTAATAATCTTTCTATGATTAAGTTTATTTTCTTTTTTCTGATAATCAATTAATTTACTGTTTCATCATCTTTTTCACCAAGACATACAGTACGAACAATAATATCTGTAACAGCATATGGATCACAATTTGATGCTGGACGACGATCTTCTAAATAACCACATTTTTCTTCACCAACTTGACGAGGTATGCGAATTGATGCACCACGATTTGCAATACCAGCTTTAAAATGATGGATCTAAATAATACAATTATTTCCATGGAAACATATATGTCTAACGCAGACACATACTCAACTGTCGTACGCTGTTCGACTTCGGATAATAGCTACGAGTACGTCTCAGTAAAAGAAAGACAAGCCTAAAAGGAACCTCATGTGCATTATGCAGATTCTAATGAGCTGTAAGTACTCTGAAAAAAGGTTGAGCGGTTGGTTTATCACTGCCAAAGTACTGTATTTTTACGATCCCCTCAGAGATATTAAGAAATCCATCGTTTTGTTTCTCCTATCGTAAGATACGACTATGGTAAAAGGATGTTTTTAATTTCACTCATATACACTGGTAGATTCCAATAATATTATGTCAGAATTGGAGCAATTGAAAACAAAGCTAATCTTGACGTTATCCACATGATATCTACCGCTCTAATTTAAAAGCAATTTGACACTTAGATACATTCCCTGCTCAGTAATAGTTTCATTCAGGCATCCGTAGACTCAAACCTTTTAAGTTTGGTTTAGTTGAAATGAAATCTACTCGTAGCCATAATATGAAGTCGAACGGCGTTCGACAGTTGGATATGTTCTCTTATAAGACATATTTTGTTCATTTAAACTTACATTTGCTGTTTCATGTCGTCCAGTCAATCGTCGTTCATTATCTCTTCCATAACATTTTATGTGTGCCTTGTGACGCAATTCAAGTGCTTTGATGGCTTTATCAATAGCTCTACAATCAAAAAATCTCTCAAGCAAGATGCAATACAGAAGTTTTTGTATGTCAAACGCTGTTAGACAAATATATTTTTTCTTATGCTGCATTATTATTATTATTTTTCATCACGGAAGAGAATGATACAAATAGTTTCTAAAATCTCACATATTTCAAACAAATAGAATTCATTTTTTTCAATCTTCTTTTGACTAATATACTAAACATGCATCTGAAATTTTTAGCACAACTGATATCAACAGCATTGTTGACGCACTAAAGTTTTGTGTATTATCTGTTGAAATTCTATATCCAAGTTTTAACGCTTTCCTTCTTTCTAGATCTGCCTTAAAAAATGTCTCATACTTAATTTGTAGTTCAAACATTACTCTTTTGAGAAAAAGAAAAATATTGCTAGGTTTATAAGTCATCAACACAGTATAACAAAGTATGACATATTTTCAAAACCTTTCGCATCGCATGTTACTCACTCGATGCCATTAGGTTGACGCATAGCCAACGTTGAAAAATTAGTATGACATCCAGCACCATTCCAATCACCTGGAATAGGTTTTGGATCAAGACTAACTTGTATACCAAACTCCTCAGCAATACGTAATAATAAATAACGTGATAGCCAAAGTTGATCACCAGCATCAGTACCTTCACATGGACCCACTTGATATTCCCATTGAGCTGGCATTACTTCAGCATTAGTACCACCAATACTAATACCAGAATATAAACATGCTTTGTAATGTGCTTCAACAACATCACGACCGAGTGCTTGGCTTGCACCAACTCCGCAATAATATGGACCTAAAAAAGATTTAAAAAAGTCCTCCGTTGTATGTAAATGTTATTCTTGTTTTTCTTCATTAACCTTGTGGATGTGGAAATCCACCTTTAGGCCAACCAAATGGCCAACCATCACGATCTAAAAGTGTATATTCTTGTTCAAGACCAAACCAGGGATGTTGATCATGTGCTGCTTTCATTGCTTCAACACATTTGGATCGTTTGTTTGAAGCTTGAGGAAAAAACATCGGATGGAAAATATTCTATGAAAATGTTTTATTTCTTACCAGTTGGTTCTTTATTATATTTGTATGTTTCACACATGACTAATTTATTTCGACCAAGCATAAATGGATCTTTAAAGATAGCTACGGGCTTAAGATATGTATCTGAATTGGAACCTTCAGATTGTCCGGTTGATGAACCGTCGAAATTCCACCAAGGTATTTCTTCTGGTGACTTTGGTTCATGATCAAGTGTTCGAGTTTTAGCTAAGCAATAGAATAGAACAATGTCAATAAAAGGAAAGGTCATATTAACCTATGATAATCAATTACCTCGAAGATTTTCTCCAGTGCCATCAACCCAAATGTAGGTAGCCAAGACT